TCTTGAGACAGGGTTTCACTATGTAGCCCAGGCTAGCCTTGAACTTGCCGCCAGTCTCCTGCCTCAGCCTCTTACATGCTGAGATTATAAGTGTGTGCCACCACACCTGGCTCAACAATCATATGGTTTTTAATCACTGAAAAACTTCTCCTCTTATAACATCTCTCATCTGTCCAGTGGGCCAGGCCCTTACTCTCTGATTCCATTGCAGCTGGAAAGAAGGGGGCTCCCTCGCCCCATGACCTCTTCTTCCTGCTCCAGAAATCCCAATTCCTATCTTTTCCTGACTGCCAAGTTCATCTGCCAACCAGACAGTGAATTTTATCTTCTTTTCTGGTCTGCTTCTGACAGAGAACTCTTTTGGGTTCTTATATGATTATTTCTGTCATATACATTGAGATGTTTTTATTATTTCTAAAGTTTTTAGGTTCCTGGTAAAGATTTTGTTTTATTTGGGAGACAGACATTATTGGTTACTATCAAAATGAATGAGAGAAAAAACTGAAAGAAAAATATGAGCTAACTATATAAAGATAAAGATTATTTAAAGAATTAGTTCGATAATCATTGATACCAAAGTCCTTGAGAAATTTCAATCACACAACTGAAATTATTCTATACGTCTCATACTTTAACAGGGCAAAAAGAGCTGGGTATGGTGGTGAACACCTGTAATCCCAGCACTCCGGAGGCTGAGGCAGGAAGATCACCCCATGTCTGAGGCCAGGCTAGAATAGTGAGTTCAAGACCAGCCCAAACTGTATGGTGGGCAAGATAAAACAAAATGGCACAAAGAATAGAAAACGTACCTAATGAATCAGTTCTACTTCAAAATAATTCTTACCCTCAGAATCACAGGGCTGCTGTAATAATCCATCCTAAGGGCCTCCATTTCTTCACACTGTTCTAAATTTATGCTTCTGGTGCACTTAACAGCCTGGTTCACCAGAAATGCTGGAATCATAATATTCCCAAGGGAGAAAAAAAAACACAAAGAAGTGTTTCAGCTGTCCAGTGGTAACTGTCATTTAGGTGAAACTGCAAAATAAGTTGTAACATGGATAGGCAATATGTTTGAAGTAGGGATTAAAAATTAGTTTTCAACTACGTATAAATTTCACAACTCAGAAGGCACAAAAAGATACGGAACAGTCTCCCCACAACTCCAGTCCTTGCCCCACCCAGCCTTCCCCACAGGCACCAGCAGGAAGTTTCTGGTGCCTCTTTCTGGAAATAGACTATGCAAAATCAAAGAAAATATGTACATGGAACCGATTATAAATTATTTTTTCCACTCCTGGAAACAAATGCGTGCTAGATATACTATTCTGCCACTTGTTTTTTCCACTGAACAATGAACACCTAAAAGCTCAGTCTGTCTCAGTACATGAAGAGCTTCTGTCCCCCCTTTTGAGGGTCAGTTAGTGCTCTTTTGGAGATGCAGCACCACAATTCCCCAGTCTCCTACTAATGCACACCTAAGGCTTCTCTGCCCCTGCTGTCACCAACAATGCTGCATCTATTATCTCGCATGTGGGCCAGCATTTCTGCAGGATCAACTCCTTGGGGTTCAACAGCTAGATGGAAGGACTCCATCATTTGTAATTTTGATACATAGTATTGGCAAACTGCCCCTCACAGGGGTGGCACTGGTTTAAGTCCCACAACTGTGGAGATGAGTGCCTGCTTGCCCACAGCTTCAAGTGTTTTGAGCGATGTCAATCTGACAGGTGAAAACAGTATCTCGGTTTGGTTTTATTTTCCCCTGTCCCCAGCATGTGCAAGGTTAAGCACCTTCTCAACAAAATACATTCCCCTCCTTTTTCCTTTTATTTTGGTTTGTTTTTTTGAGATAGGGTCTAGGTATATATTCCAGGCTGGCCTTGAACTTGCGGTGAGCCTCCTGCCTCAGCCTCCCAAGAGCTGGGATTACAGGCATGTGCCACCACACAATTCCTACTGTCCATTACTTAGCCACCACATGATGGGACTCTGGGGGTGGTCTGTGGCTCCTCTGTCACTCTAGAAAGGAGGAGCAGGGGGTGTGGGAGGCAAGGGAGCCCAGCAGAGCATGGGCGCAGGCTGACTGCAAGGTTCTGTCCCTACTCCACTACCCCATGAGTGAGCCCAGCAAGAAAGCCTCTGGCTCTCCATTTCCCCACCTAAACAGTGGAGATTCTAACCTCGCCTTCAAGGATCATTGTGAAAACCATAGGTGATTAACACAATGAGCAGCACATAGTAAATGAGCTCAATAAACGCTGGCTGGTGATGGCCTTAGACCTTCCCACACCTGGAAACATTTACCAGCTGAGAGGGCTGTTTTCAGGTAGTGAGCTGCTCATCACTCCCAGCATTCAAGCAGTGAATGTCTGTGGCTAGAAAGACTCCTGCACTGGCCGGGGTACTGAACTCCAAAACCTCTGAAGCCTCTTTCAACCCTAAGATTCTGTTTCTAGTTGTGAACCTGTTTAATCATGACTGCTCCAGATGTAAACTAGCTGCAAGGTCTCTTTACAGAGAGGAAGAACAGCAGCCATTCTTACCAGCAGGGTTGTCATCAGTGCACAGAGCCGACGTGAGAGGCGAAGGAAATCTCAGAAACGGATGTGGAGACGCCTCGGGAGCCTGCAGAGGAGCCCCGTACTGCAAACACAGTGTGCAGCCACAGTGAGCATTTGTCTGACACTTCCAGGGCACTGACCAAGGGCCATGCAGCACTGCAGAGGTCAAGGTCACACTGGTGTGCAAAAGCCAGGCGAGGCCTTGCCCACATGGAGCTGGGATCTGGCTGTGGCACCTTTACAGATGTGCTTGTGTGGGCACATGTCGCTCGCTGTGTATCTGGCAGGGGACACAAGATGCCAAGCGTGTGGCTCCACAGACAGGGGCTGGGGGCTGGGCACGGAGGCTGGACAGGTGTGTTTTACAAGCGTTAATCCATCGGCAGTTATGGTTTACATTACAATTATACAACTTTTACGAATCAGTATTTTATGAAAGAATGCCTTCTTTCCCTAAACCAAATCCCCCATGAAATTCTCCCATGACATTCAAAGCCCTAGTTTATAGCTATTGGCCATATGGATAATTTTTGTGAATTTGAAAGTTTACCCAAATGCCTTGGTGCTAGTAAGGCTGTGGGAAAACAAGTCTTCTCACTGGCTACAGCTGGGGAAAGTGCTCAAGAAACAACAGGTTTTGCACTGACATGGGAAGAGGTATAAGATTATTACTGAAAAAATAATTTTCTAGAATAATGTAGATAACTATAAATCCAATTTCTATATAAGTACATTTCATAGATGCATTTAAAAATCAGGACGATTACATCAGTATTTCACATGCAGGAGTCTGCAGTATGAATTTTTAAAATTTTTTTTGGTGTGGGGGTGTGAACCCAGGGCCTCAAACAGGCCCATCACCAAGCCACACCCCAGTGCCTGCAGGATGAATTTTATTGGAGACCAGGGACCTTTAGATTTTTACTCAGGCACCTCTATATTTCTGCTTTTAGAACCACTGCACAAAGTTGGGCATGGTGGTGCATGCTTATAATCCCAGCACTGGGGAGGCTGAGGCAGGGGGATCGCCATGAGTTTGAGGCCAGCCTGGGCTGCATAGTGAGTTCAAGGTCAGCCTGAACTACATAGTGAGACCCTGTCTCAAAAAAAAAAAAAAGAGTATATTTCCCTTTTAAAGACATACTTTTGAAAAACAGTTTATTCAAAGTTATATGTTACATTTCGTTCTTTTTTTTTTTTTTTTTTTGGTACTGGGGATCGAACTCGGGTCCTTGCGCTTGCACAGCAGGTGATGAAACCACTGAGCTAAATCCCTGGCCCACATATGTTACATTTCGATGCCTTACTCAGGGATAGAAAATAGTGCACATCTTCCTAAAGTTTATGAAACTAAATACAATTTTAAGACAAGCATCCAGCCAATCCACATAATGTTAATAGCAGCAGACCTCGAGCATTTTGCTACATCTCTTAAGGCTGAGAACAAAGAATTCTGCAGAGGCAAAATGTAAGCTTACCACAGAAAAAAATCCTATGTAATTTTCACAACTTAGAAACATGAACATTAAGGCCAGATGCGGTGGTGCATGACTGTAATGCCAGCACTTGGGAGGCTGAGGCAGGAGAATCGCTGAGAGTTCCAGGCCAGCCTGAACTACACAGTGAGATCCTATCTCAAAAAACCAAACATGGGCTGGGGATTTAGCTCAGTGGTTCCACTGCCTGCCTTGCAAACACAAGGACCTGAGTTCGATCCCTGGTACCAAAAACAACAACAACAAAAACAAAAAACAAAAAAAGAGATATATGAATGTTAAAGTTTTTAATCTATAATATCAATTCTAGGGGCCAGGGATTTAGCTCAGCAGAACTGCACCTGCCTTGCAAGCACAAGGTCCTGAGTTTGATCTCTGGTACCAAAAAAATTCAATTCTAAGACTTGGGAAAGCCAGCTTTGCTGGTACCATATTGGAAGTTAACTCAAGGACAAAGTATTATGACATGGTGAGTAGACTCACATTCTCAACTCACCTCATATTTAGTATTTGAAGCATCTGATTTGCTTGTAAAAGAAACATCTGCTTCTGCATTCGATGTAAAACCTTCAGATGTTTTCATCCACCTATTAAAACTGTTCTCATCAGGGACTTCTGGGTTAATAAAGGATAATGCAGGTTTATCTGTTTTAGAAAAGGTATTTTAGATCAGCATAGAAGGTGTACTACAAATGATATCTGTAATATTTCTGAAACAGTTGTTAGCACTAAGGCTGATATTTAAGAGTGTCTTTTTGCATGTTCACTTCTCCAAGGACTTCTGGAGGCTTGTTAAATAAACAGGATCCTAGGCCAGGCCTGCTTCTCCCAGTGGGAGAATAATGGTTTCCCCTGCCTACAGGTAAACAGCATAGTAAAAACCATGGAGAATCTATCACTTTCTCCAACCCAGGGAAAACATGCTACAGATGGAGGACCGAAGAGGCTGGTGTATGGCAGAGAATGTGACAGTCTCGGGTCAGCCATCACTTCAGGTAACAAACCACAGTGCACACACCTGTTTTCAATCACAAGAGCACAAAACCAAAATATATAAAGACATTCCAAGAAGACGATGAAGTTGGACAGACAAAACTATAACTGTGTCCCTGATCTCATATTCTGAGAGCACTTCACACTCACATGTACTTTGGATCGAGACACTGACTTGAGCTGATGCTCAGATAAAAATAAAGATCCGGTTTTCATGCAAATATTCTTAGTAAAAAGAAAAAAGAAAAAGGAAATAGAAACCACAGGCAATGTTCAAAGCTGAAGCTGATTTCCAACCATTATGCCAGGAAGAAATAAGGTGAAAAACACACAGATAGCTAGATAGATAAAAATCTGGATTCTTGTGTATGTCTACATAGTATAAAACTTTAAAACCAAGAAGTCAGAGGCAACTACATAGCACAATTACTTGTAAAGAAACTGTGCATGCCACAGATCTGTAAAGTTCCTTTCAGTTACCTGTAAAATGGCCCCAGGGATACACACTACACATGTACAGCCAAAACACAGAATTTCCTAAAAATTTAACTGAATAAGGCATTTTTCCATAAATTTTATTTTTATTTATTTTTTTGGTACTGGGAATTGAACTCAGGACCTTGCACTTGCCAGGCAGATGCAGCTCCACTGAGCTAAATCCCCATCCCTGTTTTCCATAAATTTTAAAGAAAAATTTTCCAAAGTTTTACAAAATACTGTCTATCAACACCAAACACTTACAGTTTGTAGTATGAATGCAGAAAATAGATGGATTGATCTGGTCAACAAGTTTAAATACCCTTTGAGGTGGGTTTGCTGTGAAATTCAATGAGTAGATGGCTGCTTTTTGAGTGCAGAAGTGGCTGTCACCCCTGGAAATTAAAAATAATAATAGAAAGTTTGAAGGTAAAAGCACACAGTTTTAGCAAGATTATTTTAAAATTGTCAGATGCTTGTACTACATGGAGGGTACTTCTGGAAAGCGATGTTAAAATAGAATCCATTGTTACTTAGTTTCTTCAGTGTTAAAATGTTTAGCATTTGAAAAGTTTTCCATTAGAGGAAAAAGTTAAGACAAGTATATTATTAACTTCTAAGGAAATCTTCTCAACCATGAAATATAGATCAGGGTATAATTTTGATATGAATGAACCTTGTAAACTCCGAAAGCATCAATTATATAAAATTTTGTAGAACTTTAGATTGTTCATAAGTACCCAGAATAGATCCAAAATTCCTTGTCTTTAGGATAAAGCTGTCTTCAAAAGATTGTGAAAATGTGCAATCATCTGTAAGATTCGAAGCTTAGACATTATGGTACAGTCAAGTCTTCTATCAACCCCAGATTAACAAACTCCAATCAATTTGAAGCATACATCAATATGGTATGAAGATACAGTTATAACAAAAACGGTATTATATTCTATATATTGCTTTAAAGCCTTATTCAATTAATACATAGTATTTCCCATGTTATCAAATATGCTTTTACAATATTATACTAAATGGTTTCATCATTGTGGTGGTACATAACTGTAATCCCACCACCCTGGGAGGCTGAGGCAGGAGGATCACAAATCTAAGCCCAGCCCAATTTAATAAAAACCTTGTCTCAAAATCAAAAAATAAAAAAAGAGGCAAGGATATAGCTCAGTGTAAAGGCTATGGGTCCAATTCCTACTACCTGTCAATCAACCAATCAATCAATAAGGCTTCATGATATACCAGCTTCTGAATACACACCATTTTGGTTTACCAATCCTCTACTGCTGGTGTAAGTTGTTTCTAACTCTCACCAATTATACATAAAGCTATGATGACATCCTTGTACATATGTCTTTATAAATATCTCTTAGGACATATTCCTGGAAGTGGAATTGCTGAGTCAAAAGGTACATTATTTAAGGCTTCTGCAACATGGCCAAATCGCCCTCCAGAAAGAGTCAATGTCTGAACTCACTAATGCTGTAGTAGGAGTGCCTATTTCCTTGTACTCTTCCCAAGACTGGATATTGTCATTAGGTTTTTACTGTTTGGGCTGGAGTGGCTGGCCTTGAACTCACTATGTAATTCAGGCTGGCCTTGAACTCACAGCAATCCTCCTGCCTCAACCTCCTGAGTACTAGGATTACAGGCATGTGCTACCATGCCTGGCTATGTAATGAGACCTTTTGAAGGATTTTTAGCAAGATGAGTGACAAGTTGAGGTGTGAGCTTAAGAAGTGGAAGGGGCAGGAAGGGACACAAGGCCTCTAGGGCAGGAAGACTCAATAGAACGGGGCTCCTGACTCCGGCTGCACTTGGCCAGCCCTCTAGTCCTGGGGAGTATCTCAACATCAGATCCCGAGCCTCTCTCCAGTCCCACTGTTGCAGCCTGGGGGAAGGGAGGATGGGGAGCCATCAGTCCTCATCTGACACAACACCTTACTCTGGCACCAGGCTTGGCCTCTGAGATCCACTGTGTATGGTGCTGCTGAATTAGGTCAGATGGGACCACAGGGTAAAGTCTAAACCCCTCAGCACACACGTGCACACACACAGGATCCCAGGAACACAAGTCCTGCTCTCTCCTCCACATTCCTTGCATCCCAGCCCTTTCAGACACACAAAGCTGCCTATACCCTCCTTCACCCCAGGACTCTGGCCAACTGGCTCCCTTGACCCAGAACGCCTGTTGTCTTCCTCTGTGCTAACTTCTACTTGTCCTTCAGGACACCGGGCAGCACAGGTTATCTTTTCTAGAAAGCCTTTCCTGGCCTGGCTGGCTGAGTTGGACGCTGATCCTCTGAGTTCTCCCATGGCTTGGAGCAGAAACTGCCATGCATTCATCCATCTTCCTCAATCAACCATAAGCTCTTTAATGGCGGGATCCACCGAACTTATCTCGATGCCTGGTGCTGGCAGCAAGAGGTGCTCAAGAAAGGCATGGTGAGGAGTGAAGACTGCTTAGTGCACACAGAGAAGGCCGACAAGAGGCATGGGCCAGGAACCTCCAGGTTTCTGTCTGAAAGGCTGACCACAGAGGAAGTCAGAGGGGATACAAAGAATCATTTAAGGGTGAAGAGGAGTCCATTCATCTAGTCAACTCTTTTTTTCTTTTTTTTTTAAGTGCTGGGGATGGAACCCACGCTAGGCAAGCCTCCTACCACTGAGTTCCAACCTAGCCCTGTCATTTTTAATGAGGTCCAACTGGATGGCAGGGCCTGTTTTAGGCACTGCTGATACATGAAGAACATATTTCTCTTGTGCTCTTTTCTTGTGAAATTGTCATCTGATGGGGGAAGTTGATGATAGTTTTATTATAGACAGTTAAACTAGGCAGAAATATTATAGGCAGTCAGACAGGGTAGACCCTTGAGAGAGTCAGGACAAAGGTAAAAACACATTGAAACTGTGGCCAGAGGCACATCTGTGAGAGGCCAGGCCTAACATAAGTGATAACACCTGGTCTAATAAAGTCTAGATAAACTTCAGTCACCTCCAAATATGACCATGTAAACACAAACACAGACATCTTCCCCAAAATGTAAAACAAATTAAGTTGAAAAACCAAGACACCCACTGCATTTTGGATATTAACCTCGTATTAGATAATATTATTTGCAAATATTTATTTCCATTCTGTAAATTGTTTCCTTATACTCACAGAAGTTTTAAAGTTTTATATAATTCCATTTATCTGTTTTTTAATCTTATTTCCAACATTTTTTATTCAGGAAGTCATTGCTCAATTCAATGTTTGGATTCCTGATTCTTCCGAGAGTTTCATAATTTTAGATCTTGTGTTTCGATCTTCAGTCTATATTGAGTCCATTTTGAATGACGTATAAGGGTCCAACTTCATTCTTTTGCAGGTGGGTATCCAGTGTTCCCCACACCATTTGTTGAGGTTATTTTTTTCCATTGTGTAGTCTTGGCACCATTGCCAAATAATTTGGCCAGATATTGAAGAGTTTATTTCTGGGCTCTCTATTGAGTTCTCCTGGTCGATGGGTCTGTCTTGATGCCAGCACCACATTCTCTTAATTATTGTTGTTTTGTAGCATGTTTGAAGACAGGAAGTGTGAGGCCTCCAGTTGTGTTGTTTCAGGATTGGGTTGGCTATCTGGAGTCTTTGAGGCTTCATATAGCTTTGGGGATCACTTTTTTTCTGTTTCTGCAAAGAATGCCATTAGGGTTTTGGTAGAGATTTCCTTGAATCTGTAAATTGCTTTGTGTAGTGTGGACATTTTATCAGTATTATGACTTCTAATCTATAATATATCTTCATTTGTTCATATCTTTGATTTATTTATGTGATAGTTTGTAATTTTTATTGTAGAAGTCTTTCACTTCTTTGGTTAAGGTCATTCCTGGATATTTTTATTCTTTTTCATACTATACATTGTTTATGCTATATATTGATTTCTTAATTTTCTTACCATGATGTCATTATGAGTGTATAAAATCCAGCTGATTCTGTATTTTTATTCTGCAATTTTACTTTTTTTGTTCTAATAACTTTTTAAAGATGCTATCTTTAGGTGTTTCTAGAGATGAGCTCCTGTTATCTGTGAACAGAACTAATTTTATGGTTTTTTTCCATTTGTATGCCTTTCTTTTTCTTATCCAGTTGTTCTAGTTGGAGCTAGCTTACTAGTTCCAGTTATTTACTGTGTGAATAGCGGTGGTGAGAGTGGGTCTTCTTGCATTTTTCCTGATATCAGAAGGAAAACTTTTAGTTATTTCCTGTCAGTATGATCTGCAGTGTGAGATTTTCGTATATAACATTTTCTACCGTCTTCTATGTTCTCAGTTTATTGATTTTTTTTAAATATAAAAGGGTGTTTGGTTTTATTAAAGAATTTTTCTGTATGAAAAAAAAAACAAAAACAAAACTTCAGTCACCTCAGTGGGTGACCAACCTCAGACTCATCCCTTCCTGAAAAGTTCTTTGTTCCTTCCATGCACACTTGCTACATGACTTGCTTCCCCATTGGATCAATGTTATCTAAGAGACTATAATCTTAGTGGTTGATCATAGCTGTAACCCACATTGTACTCACATGGTTGTGCTCTAAAACTTCCCCTGAGAAGTGGGGTCCTTGGCAACCCACTTTCAGGTCCCCTCCTGCCTCTCAGAAGCTGTATCTTTCCCCTCAATAAATATTTCCTACTCTTCCCCCCACCCCACACTGGGAATCCAACTTGGGACCTTGCGCTTGCCAGGTAGGCACAGTGCCACTGAGCTACATCCCCAGCCCAAATATTTCCTACTCTTAGCCTCCATTGTTCCTTAAAATTCATTCTTCAAATTTGGGGAACACAAACTGGGTGTGTTGAACATCTAGCAGGTTGAGACTATATTTCCCGTATATCATTTGGAGGTCCTCTATCATATTTGGAGGTCCCACTGAGACAACTGGAAGGAGGTAAGAGTTTGTTTCATAGATTCTGGATTGTGACTCACTTAGGTAATCAAAAATTGTCATTCTTGTTTGTCAACTGCTTATGCCTTGAATTCTTATGCCTTGTCTCTTTTATGCATTGTTTTTTGTTAAAGTGATGGGAAATTTAAGTTGAGAACATGGGAAGATGATGTTTTTCTGATGAGGCATTATGCTTTTACAGGCAAGGCCTTATATTCCTGTTTTGTATATGCTACATTTGGCTGAATTTACTGGTGTTCCTCACTTGACCTGTTTGACTGTTGTGGTCTGTTATCTTAGGCAGTAGCACTAGGAAAAAGTAATGTTAAAACATCCCCTAGTGGACTCTGATATGAAATGTGATAAAATGGGTCTTTTATGAAATCTAGTTTATATTTAGGAACTACACATGCCTATTAATAAATCACGAGACCCCCATCTTCCAGTTAAAAGGCAATGGCCAG